CTCCAGTCTGGGCGACAGAGTGAGACTCCAACTCAAAAAAAAAAAATGCCTATTTCATTTTGCAAACATCTTATGCCAGAAAGCAATGGCATATGCAGCAACCCAGGTGCCCCATTTCCCACCAGGCACCAGTCTCCCACAGTAACTGAATCCCTGCTCTGTGAGTGATCCTGAGACACTTTGGGTGCAACAACACATCTCAAGGATCATCCACCATGACCAGGATGCAGGGCTTGTTCAACATTTGAAAGACCATAAATGTATTCAGCACATTAATAGATGTAAAAGCAAGAACCACATGATTATCTCATTTAACACAGAAAAAGGGTTGGACAAAACCCAGCATCCCTTGATAAAAACCCTTGAGCACCTAGGCATAGAAGGAACATTCCTCAAAACAGAGCCATCTGTGATAAATCAATAGCCAACATTTTGCTCAATGGGTAGAAGTTGGAAGCATTCTCCCTGAGGAATGCAACAAAACCATGATGCCCATTCTCAGCCCTCCTATTCAATATAGTACTAGAAGTCCTAGCCAGAACAATCAGGCAAGAGAAGGAAATAAGGGATACCCAAATAGGAAAAGAGGAAGTTAAGGTATCCTTTTTGCAGGCAATATGATTCTATACATAGAAAACCCTGAGGAGTCTGTCAAAAGTCTCCTAGGACTGTCAAATGACTTTAGTAAAGTCTCAGGTTATCAACTCAACATGCAAAATACAGCTGCATTTCTATAGACCAGCAACAAGCAGGTGGAGAACCAAATAAAAAGCACAATCCCATTCACAATAGGCACACACAAAAATTGAATACCTTGGCATCCACTTAACTAGCCAAAATAATGCTTAGCAAAAGGAACAAAGTGGGAGGCTTCAGACTTTATCTTAGCTTTTATGGCATTCACTTTTGGGGACTTGGTCAATAATTTGTTGTCTACTCCAATGTGCCTATGTTTTTATTGAACTGAAAAGCTTTTGCACAACAAAAGAAACCATCAAAAGAGTAAAGAGACAACCCACAGAATGAGAAAAAAAAATACTGGCTGTGCCACAAACAACATATACACATTTTTAAGTGACGTTACCTATGTATTACTTTTCAACTTTTCAAAGTTGAATTATGGTAGCAAATGTAGTATAACATTCACTCAAAAAATGGCATTAATCAAATGAATGCTAGGGTCACCATGTGTCAAGCAGGATAGTATTAAAATTTTAATAACAGTTTTTCCTTTCTTAAAATTTGTATACATTTTTTGGTACCCTCTGTATTTGAAAATTATGCATATAACAGAGGCTTAGCATCCAGGACCTACAAGGAACTCAAATGAAGTGAAAGGAAAAAAACAACCCCATGAAAAAGTGGGCAAAGGACATGAACAGACACTTCTCAAAAGATGACATACAAACAGTCAACAGATACACTAAAAGCTTCTCAGTCTCACTAGTCATCAGAGAAATGCAATTCAAAACTACAATGAGATACCACCTAACTCCAGTAAGGAGGCTATATTAATAAGTCAAAAAACAATAGGTGCTGGGCAGGCGTGGAGAAAAGGGGATGCTTCTACATTGTTGGTGGGAATGCAAGCTGGTTCAGCCTCTATGGAAAACAATGTGGTAATTCCTGAAATTACTACAAGTCGATCTTCCATAAGACCCACCAATCCCTCTCTTGGGAATATACCCAGAGGAACATAAATCACTCTACCAAAAAGACACCTACCTGCACATGCATTTTTATTGCCACACTTCACAACAGAAAAATTATGGAACCAATCCAACTACCCAATGAAAGTGGACTGGATAAAGAAAATGTGGAACATATACACGATGGAGTATTATGCAGCCATAAAGAACAAAATCATGGACTTTGCAGCAACTTGGATGGAGTTGGAGACCATCATGCTACGTGAACTACCACAGAAACAAAGAACTGAATACCACATGTTCCCACTCATGTGGGTCCTGAACACTAGTCACATTAGCACAAGGGTAGGATTGGCAGTTGCTGGGCACTACTAGGGAAGGGAGGGAGGGAAGAGGATAGAGGACATGAGACAATACAAAGCATACCTAGTCTAATACCGGGGGGCTGAGAGCCAGTTAGAAGCCCAAACTTCTCCTGCACGCAGGCTACCTGTGTAGTAAATCTTCACTTATACCTCACATACGTATAATAACATTTTTTTAAGATTATAAAGACAATAGAGATACAAGTTAGCTTTGTGCAAAGATGGACTTTTAAATAGAAAAATAAAAATGATGTCCAATTTATGATGTTAAAGAGTAATTTGATAGAACTAAAATATCAGACAATAAAATAACCTATGAGGTGTAGGAATGGCAGTAAGTAATCAGAGTCATATGTTCTAAGGTCCTTATAGTTTGTGGAAGAAAGTAAAGATATTTATTAACTTGAGACTAAAATTTCTAGATTAGCACCAAAAAGAGTAGACATTTAAAATTTTCAAAATTAGTAGGGGGAGATAGGTGAGACAAAAGCAAGAAACAGAAAAAGAACAAATAAAAAGTTCAAAATAATGTTAGATATTAATACAAACAATAATAGGCAGTATTCATAACAATAAAAGTTGCTGTAATTAAACAACAAGGGTTCCTGCAACAGGATACTTCATAGAAGAACATATTTCGGGACTTCACAAAGTATGGACACTTAATTATAAAGCAGCCATACTGAAGACAACATGGGTGTGATGTGGCCATGAGTACACATTTGATTCAAGTGCTCAAAAGCAGGCCCATCTGCACAGAAACTGGAAACATGAGGGAGGCATTACAAACAAATGGGAAAGAATACTCAGAAGGTGGCGCTGAGAAAATTGGTTCTTAATAAGAATTGCAGATGAATGAAGAGCTTACAAGTGAAGGGCTTCACTTTAGCCAATTTACATAGAGGAGAATATATTTATAATCTCATGATGGCAACAACGTTAACTTTGGAACTTGTATTCATGTTTCATTTCTGTGATAACACATGACTACAAGTTTCATGACTTAAAACTATAGCCACTTTTTCTCAGGGTACAGAAATCTGGGTCCTCTGTTGTGTTCACAAGGCTGAACCCAATGTCCTGGCAGGGCTGCAACCCTTTCTGGAAGCTCTGAAAATGAATCAATCCTCTCCCAAGCTCATGCAGGTTGTTGGCAGAATGCAGAGCCTCAGGTCTGTGGGACCGAGGCTGTTTCTCTGCAGACTGTCAGCTGGTGGTCCTTTGCTCCTGGAAGCTGCACTAAGTACCTTTACGTGCTTCCCTGCAGCCCTGCAGCAGCAGCAGGCTGAGACCATCTAGCACACTTTACATTTCTCTTACTTCTGCTGCTGCATCTCTCCAATTCTAGTCAGAGGAAGATCTTTGCTTTTAAGGGCTCCTGTGGTTAGATTGGGTCCCTCTGAATAGTCCAACACAAACTCCCCAACATAACGTCCATAACTTTAATTACATCTGCAAAGTCTCTTTTTCCATGTAATGTAACATATGCATGGCTTTCAGGGATAAGGACATGGATGATGTGGGGGCCCATTCTGCCTGCCACAAAGTTTGATCAAATCAACTAAAGTTAAAAAATATGTATGAATGAAATGAAGAATAACATAAATAGAATACATACATAAAACTTTTTTGTGCAGTGACACAATCACGACTCCCTGCAATCTCGACCTTCTGGGCTCAGGAGATCCTTCTGCCTCAGCCTCTCAAGTGGCTGGGACTGCAGATGTGTACCACCATGCCCAGCTAATTTGTTTTATTTTTATTTTTTGTAGAAATAAGACCTTGCTGTTGTCTAGGTTGGTCTCAAACTCCTGGGCTCAACCAATCCTCCTGCCTTGGCCTCCCAAAGTGCTGGGATTACAGGCATGAGAGCCACTGCGCCCAGCCACATAAAACTATGTATATATGTATGTTTGTATTTATTTATTTTTAAAGCAGGATTTTTTGAGAGGACAGAAAAACTCCCAGAATGGAGGGGGGGGGAGGATCCGAGGGGTTACCCACATAAAACTATTTTTAAATCAAGGAAATTATAAACAAAGGAAGGCAGCAGGATTTTGTTACCCTGGAGGGAATTTGGAGAATGTAGTCAAAGAGGGATACACAAGAAAGGTAAAGGTATTGGCAACTTCCATTTCTCAAACTGCATAAGGACACACTGTTTAAAAATTGTTATTATTCTTCTTTAAATTGTACATATACATTATATTCATGAATGTGATAAATTTCACAGCTAAATTATAACGTTTAAAAACATACAAAAAGTTGAATATAAAATGCCACTTATTAATAACCTGAATTTGTGAGTAGAGCCAGAAATGAGAAAATCAAGGAAGAAAAACAAGAAATATTGGAGATAGAAGAATAGAGCATGGAAAGCCAAAACCTAAAATATCTGTCTCACAGTTTTAATGGGGTGTTAAAGTTGGTACTTTCCTCTCCTTCCAGAGACCAGAGAAAAACTGGTTCTTTACTTCAGAAAATGGAGTTAAAAGAGGAGATAAATCCTAATGATCCACATCTGCCTCATTTTCTGAATGGTTTGGAGGTCACCATGGGGGCTCCAATTGGTCCTACCATCTAAATATCAACAAGGCTGCCTTGGAAAGGAGAAATGCTAGCCATACTCTAGAAAGTATCTACAGGGAACCATAGTACTCAAGGCTTTTCCCAAGGGACTAGTATCTTGATTCACTCTTAAATTCCTTAGCTACTTCAGTTGATGTGTAAACTTATTTCCCATGAGACATTTTATGAGTAGATTCACAAACATTTTTTTCCTCAAAAGAAGTATCAATATGCCATGTTAGCCTATGCCTTCGTCCAAAATAATGAAGTATTCAACCACACGAGAGTAAGTCATTCCACTACTAGCATTAGAGAAGTAATTTCCCTTCAAACCAGTGACAGAAGGAAGCAGAAATGGGCCAGGGCAAGCTTCTCTTTCATTTGTGCTCAAGAACAGTGATTAAAAAAGAACTCAGCTGACAGTTGCCAAGGAAAACTTACTCGGATTCAGTTTCCTGTTTAATCTTCTTTGCAACATGTGTAAAAGAAAGAGGAACTCTACTTTAAGTTCATTGCTGAGCATGTTGGGATTGCTTAGTAATTCTGATAACCGAATGTTATCTTTAATAGACTTTGAGGCTGTAGACCTGGCAACCAGGGGTAAACGCATCTGGTAACTATAGTCTGTGAAGTTCACTAAGTCATCCTGGATACTTTTGACTCTGGAAATAAGAAATAAAATACTGTTGACAAGCCACGTTTTAGTAATGAAATTTACATTATTCAAAGTTTCACATTAAATTGTATTACTAGAAAATTTCAAACAACTTACTCTCGATGTGTTAGCAAAGTGTAAACCTCTTGTATCAGTATTTCAGGCACTCCAGCTTTACAGTGAATTGTTCCATGAATTAATTCTTTAGGCAATTTAAATTTTTTTCTTGCCAGGAACTTTAATAATAAAAAAACATTTTCATCATATGAAAGTTCTATTAAAACCTTCACTTTAAACTCACTTTTATCTCTCAACTAATTTTATGATGTTTAACAATGTTGATTATTAAAAGATAATATTCAGAAAGAAAACCAACCACTATATCCCATGCTGATTGAAATGAATATGCTCAGTTTCATATATGACTCATAACATAAACAATTGGAGTTTAATATGTTGTGATCCACAGGAACAGGCCCACACGAGTCCCACACATACGTTTAGAGAGCCAAGAAATCAAGAGCATACTTTGAAAAACCAATGTAACAATTAAAAGTGTAAATGGTTGCTAACTTACCTTCTCCAGCTGTGCCCAGTTATCCAACTTGACTTTTAAAGAGGTACCATTTTCAAAGGAAGATATCATAACTTCCCGTGGGTAATATATACTGAATATTTCTGCAATCAGGAAGCCATTTGAAAAATCCCTGATCCACAGCAATTAGGAAATGAAATAAAATGTAGTTAATTATGCAGTTTGTATTATTTTACAATGAATTAACACCAACCTGATATCTCATACTAGAAGTATTTTGTAAAATTAGCACTGTTATATCACTGCCCTGAAGAAGACCTACTATGGAATAGTATTTTGCTAAGATTATATACATATCAACGGCTTTGGTGTCCTTTTTATCAAGATGCTGAGGGTAGGATCCAAGATGGCCATCATGGAGCAGCAGATTTGCACCTCTCTCAACAAGCAAGGCAGAAAGTAGGGACCCAGCCACAATAGACAGAGACACCCCAAATACTTTTGGACAGATGAAGCACCCTGCACCCAGCAAAGGTCTCTTTGAATATATAGAGATCAGAAAGTGATGGCAGATGCAGGAATCTGGGCACTCCATCCACTACCATGTGCCATGCTTGCACAGGAACTGAACCCCATCCCAGGGTGAGTGAGTGATTCTAAGACTCTTTGAGTCAGTTCACACCCTCCCAGTTGTGTGCCAGTTGCTGGTTCCATGTGGGAGGAGTCCTGGTCAGGGTACCATGTTGGGTAACCAGAGCCCAAGAGGAATAGGGAAAAAACCCACACCCAGCTGGTTGCCATGAGTGACTTCCCAGGAAAGCCCAGGGAATGCATACCTGCGGAGTGAACCTGGCTGGTGCCTGACACCAACAACTATCTTGACCCAGACAGATGAGAAAGAATCACCTCCAACCCCTACATGCCTACTGGGCAGGTCCCTTCCCCCTTCCCCATCACTTGGAACTGACTCTTTCTCAAGAGCAGAATGCAAACTTGAATGGGGGAGTGACAGGAAAGACACCCAGAGGCTTTCCCAATGGTAAATCTTCTGGGCTTTAAACTGCAGATAGCAGATGAGGGGGGCATTCCCCTACTTGCTGTCTGCAGAGTGCTACCAGCAGGGACTGAAAACTAACCTGACTAGATTAACAGTGGGAGAGAAAATCTACATGAGAGAAACCTGCCATGGGGTAGAGCAAGAAGCAGAAGTGAATGCCCCTCTCTCTCTCTCACTGAGTGACCTATAATGAACCATAGAAAGGGCCCTAGAACAGAGGGACACTGGCTAGCTTCAGAGCAACAAAAATAAAGAGGAATTATAGAAAGGAAAGAAAAGCCTGTCACAAATGAGTAAAAATCAACAAAAACAACATGGGCAACACTCAGAGTCTTAAAGAGACAGCACCCAAAAAGACAGATCAGAGCACAAACAATGGAAACCTCCCAGAATGACTTGTCCCAGATGGCAGTCACAGAAATCAGAGATTGGATGGCTAAAATTAACAAAGAGAACTAAGAGAAACTAGAAGCACCACTCACTGAAGTCTTACAAGAAGTAAAAACAGAATTGGCTAACTTCAGAAAAGCCTTTTCTGGAATAATGGATATGATGAACTTCATCTTTGGAAATCAAAAACATGTAACAAGCATAGGGAGCAGAATCAATCAAGCAGAGGAAAGAATCTCAGAGCTTGAAGATGAAAATATGGAATTAACCCAGTCTGTCAAAAAAACAGAAAAAAAAGCTCAAAAAGAAGAAGAAGCAAAGCCTCTGAGAGATGTGTGACTATGTCAAGAAGTCAAATCTATGCCTGATTGGTGTATCTAAAGCAGAAAGAAAAACTGAGAACACCATGGAACAAACATTCCATGGGGTCATACAAGAAAACCTTCCACATCTTGCTAGAAAGGTGAATAGTCAAGTGCAAGAGATTCAGAGAAACCCTATATGGTATCACATGAGAAAAACCATCCCCAAGACACAAAGAAATCTGCCTCCTCAAAGTAAGCATAAAAGAAAATATTGTAAAGGCAGAAAGAAAGGTCAGACAACCTACCAGGGATGACCCATCAGAATTGATTCAGACTTATCTGCAGAAATACTACAAGCCAGAAGGGACTGGAGTCCCTCTTTTTTTTTTTTTTTTTTGAGTTGGAGTCTCACTCCATCACCCAGACTGGAGTGCAGTGGCATGCTCCCAGCCACCACAGCCTGAACCTACTGGGCTCCGGCAATCCCTCTGCCTCAGCCTTCCAAGTAGCCAGAATTACAGGCACACACTACCACTAGCCCAGCTAATTTTTTTTAAATTTATTTATTGTAGAGACGAGGTCTCGCCAAGTTGCCCAGGTGGGTCTCGAACCCGTGGGCTCAGGCAATCCACTCGCCTCAGCCTCCCAAAGCACTGGGAATATAGGCTGAGCCACTCAGCCTGACCTGGAGTCCCATTTTTAACTTTCTCAAAGATAAGCAATTCCAGTCAAGAATTTCCTACCCCACCAAGCCTTCATCAGTGACAGAGAATTAAAATCCTCCCCAGACTCCAATCCCTAAGAGAATATGCCAACTCCAGACCACCCCTTTAGGAGACACTTAAGAAGCTGCCGAACACAGGGAAAAAAATTGATCATACCCATCCCCAAAGTACAATCAAGTACAGAGTTAGCAGAGCATACAGAGCACTCACAAAAATGAAAATACATACATATATAAAAATAAAAGGAAACAAAGCAACACCCTAAGAGACCTATGACAGGGATAAACCCTCATATTTCAATAAACAATTTGAATGTGAATGTACTAAATGTGCCACTGAAGAGGTATAAAGTAGCAAACTGGATAAAGAAGCATGATTCAACAGTCTGCTGCCTCCAAGAAACAAATCTCACTGCAAAGTACTTCTACAGGTTCAAAGTTGGGGCCCTTCAGGCAAATGGAAAACAGAAGAGAGCAGGTGTAGCTATTCTGATATCAGACAAAGCAGACTGCAAGCTATCAAAAGTTAAAAAGGACATGGAAAGACATACATAAAGGCTCAATTCACCAGCAAGAAATATTCATCTTAAGCATACATCCACCTTACACAGGAGCACCAGATTTTAAAAAACAACTACTAATAAGAGAGGGCATTGATTCTCACATAATCATAGAGACCTAACCACCCCACTAACAACTCTAGATAGATCATCAAGACAAAAATAACAAGCAGTCCCAGAACCTTAACTCAAAACTTGATCAAATGGATTTAATAGACGTTTACAGAACACTCCACCCAACATCAAGGGTGTATACATTCTACTTATCAGTACATGGAAGATACTACAAGATTGATTACATTATTGGACATAAATCAAGTGTGAATGAATTACAAAATATCAAAATACCATGCATCTTCTCAGATCATGTAAAATAAAAATAAATATGACCACAAACAAACTTTCCCCCCAAAACACACAAAGATATGGATACTAAGCAATATGCTACTGAATGATATCTTGGTCAAAGCAGAAATCAAGATAGAAATGAAAAGATTCTAGGAAACAAATGAAAATAAAGACAAATCTCATCAGAACCTCTAGGAGCCCATGAAAACAGTGGTAAGAGAAAAATTCATAACATTGCACACACACATCAAGAAAATAGACAGATTATAAGTAATCAACCTAATGTCACACCTAAAGAAGGTAGAAAAGCAATATCATCTAAAGCCTAAATATCATCTAAAGCCTAATTTCAGCAGAGGAATCCAGATCACCAAGATAAACTCACAATTGTGGGATTTAGAAGACAAAAATATCATAGAAAAGATCAATAAGCAAAAAGTTGATTCTTTGAAAGAATAAATAAGGTTGATAGACACCCGGCCAGATTGACGAAGAAAAAGAGAGAGAATCCAAATAAACACAATTAGAAACACAAAAGGCAAAGTCACAACTGACCCTGAAGAAATTCAAAAGATTATCAGAGATACTAGAAACATCTATATGCAAGTAAACTAGAAAACCTAAAGGAAATGAAGGGCTTTGTGACATCACAAAACCTCCCAAAGTTGAAACAAAAACAAATCAAAACTCTAAACAGACTATAACAATCCAGGAAATCAACTAAGTCATAAGAAATCTCCCGGCCAAGACTATATCAGACCAGCTGATTTTCCAGCTGAATTCTATAAGACATACAAGAAAGAACTAATACCAATCTTTTTTTTTTTTTTTTTTTTGAGTTGGAGTCTCACTGTTGCCCAGACTGGAGTGCAGTAGCCGCTCCCGGCCACCGCAGCCTCGATGTGCTGGGCTCCGGCGATCCTTCCGCCTCAGTCTTCCGAGTAGCCGGAATTACAGGCATATGCTACCACGCCCGGCTGATTTTTTTTTTTTTTTTGATTTATTGTAGAGATGAGGTCTGCTGCCCAGGCAGGTCTCGAACCCATGGGCTCAGGCAATCACTCACCTCAGCCTCCCAAAGGCACGGGATTACAGGCTGAGCCACCGAGCCCGGCTACCAATCTTATTAAAAGTATTTCAAGCCATAGAGAATGATGAAATTCTCCCCAACTCAATTTATGAAGCTAACATCATACTGCTACCCAAACTTGGCAAAGACCCAAAAAAGAAAAGAGAAGTATAGGCCAATCTCCTTGATTAACTGACAATGCAAATTTTCTCAAGAACATCCTAGCAAATCAGATCCAACAACACATCTCAAGGATCATCCAACATGACCAAGTGGGCTTCATTCCTAGGATACAGGGCTGGTTCAACATTCACGGGACCATAAAGGTAGTTCAGTACATTAACAGATGTAAAACCAAGAACCACATGATTATCTCATTAGATGCAGAAAAAACATTTGACAAAATCCAGCATCCTTTCTTGATAAAAATCCTCGAACACCTTGAGCATAGAAGGAACATTCCTTAAAACAGTAAGGGCCATCTATGTTAAGCCCCACAGCAAACATTTTGCTCAATGGGCAGAAGCTGGAAGCATTCCCATTCACTGGAACAGGACAAGAATGCCCACCCTCATCCCTCCTGTTCAACATAGTGCTGGAAGTCCTAGCAAGAACAATCAAGCAAGAGAAGGAAATCCAAATAGGAAAAGAGGAAATTAAGGTATCCCTCTTTGCGCACAATATGATTCTATATCTTGAAAACTCTTGGGACTTGGGAGTCTGTCAAAAGCCTCCTCTCTGATAAACCACTTCAGTAAAGTCTCAGGTTATAAAATCAACATTCACAAGAGAACTGCATTTCTGTACACCAGTAACAAGCAGGTGGAAAACCAAATAAAAAGCACAATCTCATTCACAACAGCCACAAAAAATTAAATACCTTGGCATCCACCTAACCAGAGAAGTGAAAGGTCTTTACAATGAGAACAATAAAATGCTGTTCAAAGAAATCAAGGATAAGACAAACAAATGGAAAAACATTCCTTGCTCATGGGTTGAAAGAATCAATATTGTCAAGATATCCATCCTACCCAAGGCAATCTACAGATTCAATGCAACACCCATCAAATTACCAGCACCATTTTTCACAGATCTTGAAATGACAATACAGAAATTCATATGGAAAGAGAAAGAGTTCAAATAGCCAAAACAATCCTCAGCAAAAGGAACAAAGAGGGAGGCAACACACTTCCAGACTTTAAGCTTTCTCACAAAGCTACAGTAACTAAGACAGCAAAGTATTGGTATAGGAATGGGTAATAGCCCAGTGGAACAGAACAGAGATTCTGGAAGCAATAAAACGGTCTCACCACCAACTCATCTTTAACAAAGCAACCAATAACAATCACTGGAGAAAGGAGACCATATTTAGCAAACTAGCTGACCACGTACAGAAGAATGAAACTGGAACTCTACCTATCATCATAAACAAAAGTCAACTAAACAGGCATTAAAGACCTATACATAAAACCTCAAACTATAAGAATCCTAGAAGAAAATATAGGAAACATTCTTACACACATCGAAGGAGGCAACAGATTCTTGACTAAGTCCCCCAAAGTTAATGCCATAAAAGCTAAGATAAACAAGTGGGACCTCATTAAACTGAAAAGCTTTTTACACAGCAAAAGAAACCATCAAGAGAGTAAAGAGACAACCCACAGAATGGGAAAAAATATTTGCAAATTATGCATCGGACAAAGGTCTAGCATCCAGGATCTACAAGGAACGCAAATGAAGTAAAATAAGAAAAAACAAACATCAAAAGGTGGGCAAAGGACACAAATAGACACTTCTCAGAAGATAGCAAACAAGCAGCCAACAGACACATGAAAAACTGCTCAACCTCAGTAATCATCAGAGAAATGCAAATCAAAACTACGATAACATACCACCTAACCCCAATAAGGGTGGCCATCATTAATAAGTCAAAAGAGAAAAGGAAACGCTTCTACACTGTTGGTGAAAGTGCAAGCTAATTCAACCTCTATGGAAAGCAGTGTGAAAATTCCTGAAAGAACTGAAAACTGACCTTCCATATGATCCAGCAATCCCTCTCCTGGAACATAAATCATTCTACCAAACAGACATCTGCACACACATGTTTATTGCTGCACTATTCACAATAGCAAAGGCATGAAACCAACCCCACTGCCCATCAAAAGTGAACCGGATAAAGAAAATGTGGTACATGTACACAACGGAGTATTAAGTAGTCATAAAGAACAACAGTTGGAAACCATAATACGAAGTGAACTATCACAGAAACAAAGAATTGCATATCACATGTTCTCACTCATATGTGAGCCCTGAACACTAGTCACCTGAGCACAAAGGAGGGATCAGCAGTCACTGGGCACTGCTAGGGGAGGGAGGAAGGGATGGAGGTGGGGGACACTTAACCACACAAAGGGTATCGGGTCCACTACCGGGGGTGTGAGGCTCAATTAGAAGTCCAAATTTCACCTGCATGTAGCCTACTTTTGTGGTTAAACCTCACTTATACCCCAAATCTCTATAACAAAATAAAAAAATTTTAAAAATACAAAACTGCCCAGGTGACTCATATGCACATTCAAAGTTTCAGAAAATCCAAATCCTGAAGTTAGTACAGCAGTCCCCGCTGAATCCCAGTTTTGCTTTCTACGGTTTCGGTTACCTTCGGTCAACCAAAGTCAGAAAATATTAAATAGAAAATTCAAGAAATAATCCATAAATTTTAAACTGTGTGAGTAGTGTGTTGACATCGCCCTGCCTGCTGGGTCCCGCCGAGGCTGACTCCCTCTGTCTAGCATCTCCTCACTCGGACACGCCCTGTCACCCTCTTGTGCAGATTGATCGACTGTCACATATGGCCAGGCCTGTGTTCAAGTCACCCTTATTTTACTTCATAACCACCCCAAAGCCCAAGTGTCAAGTGATGCCAGCAATTCAGATATACCAAAGAGAAGCCATGGGGTGCTTCCTTTAAATGAAAAGTTGAACATTCTCTACTTAAAAAAAGAAGAAGAAAAGAAATTGTAACCTTAGGTTGCTATAATCTATGATAAGAAAGGATCTTGCATGCCTGAAATTAAATTATAAAACATTCTTCATAATTTTGTCGTTGCACCTCTGAGTGCAAAATCTGCAGCCACGGTGTGTAATAAGTGATCAATTAAAATGTAAAAGGCATTAAATTGTGGGTGGAAGACCTAGACAAAAACGGGGTCTGATTGAGCGTTCCCTGCTATCCTGGTTTCAGGCATCTGCTGGGAGGTCTTGGAACGCATCTCCCCTTAGATAAGGAGGGATTACTTTAAACCAGAGTCCTTCTTGCAAAAGATTCACCGCCTTAATTTTTATAGAATTTAGTTTGAAATCTCAAAGCAAATATTAACGACCAGTTACATTCAGGGCGGCTCCAATTAAATGACAAACTTAGAAATGCTGAACTTCGCAGCAACTTGGATGGATTTAGAGTCTAGATTACTCAGGGATCTATCACAGGAACAAAGAACTGGGTATCACATGTTCCCGCTCATAAGCAGACCCTGAGCAATTATCATAATACTTTAAGAACCAGGATGGGCAGTAGTGGAAACTGCGGGGGCGGGGGCGGAGGGGGCACACTTTATCGAGAAAAATACCTGATCTCAAAGCAGGTGAAATGGGGATTAAAGTGAGGCCCAGGTTTTACCCGTTTCAGTGATCATTCGTATACTTAACCCTGAATTGTACCACACATCTTCAAAATAAAAATAAAGATTAATGGGGGGGAAACATTGTTCTTATAGCCAGGGCCTGTAATCCCAGTGCTTTGGGAGGTCTAACCGGCAGCATGGGTTGAGGCCAGCAGTTTGAGACTAAGCTGGGCTACAAAATGACTGATCGATCATTGATTAAACGAATACATACATGCATAAAATGCTTCGCCATATTTTTTTAAAGCCTGGCTTCCTCATCGGTGCTTTCACGCGTACGTGTGGGTGGGGGTCTTCATCCGAAACACAAGCCCGGCAAGAACAGGCCTCTGGCCGGCGACGGGGAAGAGGCGGCGCGCATCCCCGCCGCTAAAGCATCCCCCCGGGCCCGGGCCCGCCCAGCACCTGTTGACGTTCCTGGGGAAGAAGCTGAGATCCAGGCCCTGGAGCCAGCGCAGTACGGAGCGGGACAGGCAGGAGCTCTTCGGGGGGTGCGGATAAACTAGACATTTCTTAGGCCTCCCTCGGATGGGAGCTGCTGGCTGTGACAAAGCTGACGGTGACTTGGCTGGGGCTGCCGCCGGCTGCGTCAAAGACCCTTCTTGCTGGCCGGCGGCAGCCATGGCGCTTTCTGGGCTGCTATAGCAACAGCCGCTGCGAGGCGGGGCCTCGGGGCGGGCTGGGCGGGGCCTTGAAGGGAGGGCGGGGCCTCGCGGGGAGGGAGGGGCCTCATTGGGCAGGGCCGGGCCTCGTGGGGAGGAGGATTCTAGGGAGGGGGGCGGAGCCTCGTGAGGGCGTGGCATGGCCTTGCACGGGGTGGGGCTTGCGGGCGGGGCCTCAGGCGGGGCTTGAGGGCGTGGCTTGCGGGCGGGTGTCGGGCGAGCCTATGGGCGGGGTGTCGGGCGGAGCTTATGGGCGGGGTCTCAGGCGGAGCTTATGAATGGGGCGGGGGCGTGCTGACTCGGCGTCTGCGCAGGCGCTGTCGCCACTTCCAAGAGTCCGATTTTCTCGAGTCTTGGCGCGCAACGCTCTCCGGGTTGGAGGATGCGAATCCCTGATACCAGTGTGTCAGGGCTCGGTCTGGAGAGCTTAAACTTTGGGCAGTCTGGAAAGCTTAAACCTTTCCATCTCAATTTTACTTGCCCTTACTGTTATCCAACTTAGGGCTTATTTTTCCTTTATTTCCTTCTTCACAAGTTTTGCATTTTAGATATTGTAATTTCTGCCCTCCCAAAGGTCTGTTTTCAGTTAAGTGTTTTGAGGAGGGTGTGAGAAGGCTCCAGAGAACAAGGACAGTGTTTGCTCAGGAATTGGAAAGCGATAGAGGAGAGAAAAATCTTCAAAACTGAAATGAATGTTAGTCTACAAAATTTAGCATAACTGTTTTCTTAATTATTGCATTAAGCAATCATAAAAATTACATAATATTCTAAAAGAACTTCATCAAGATGTCCTAATAAGTGTAATTCCTTCATTAATCCAACACAAATATATTGAGTCCCTACTATGCACCAAACACGGAGCTAGTCACTTGGCTCTTTCAGTGAACACTGCAGGGGAAACAAATGAGAGCCATCACAGAATGGGCACTGGCAATTATAAATTAAGTGTTTATGCAAGCAAAAGTATTTAAATCCTTTAAAAATGTTTACAGCCAAAAAAATTGCTTAATGTGGAATGTGGGTGTGTATACAAGAGAAAATACCGTATGGGATGGATCTTGATAGTGTTACTGTATAATATTTTGTTGAATGTTTGTTAATATAGTAAACCAATATATTCTGTGATTTTAAAAAGGAAAAAAAGTGAAGCTATGCAAATATTTTCTCTTTGCCTAATAAAGTTTGTCATGAATTAGTCATTCATTCTATGAACTTCCTTTGAGGAATCATCTATCATGTGCTATGCCCTAAATTTTCACTATCCTGTATGGTAGCCACTAACCACATGTGGCTATGAAAGTTTAATTTTAATAAGTTTAAATGAAATAAATTCCATTCCACTGGCTACATTTCAGCTGCTCAAGAGTCATATGGCTGGTGGCTACCATATTTGATATCACAGATACAGACCTTTTCCATCATTGCAGAAAGTTCGATTGGACGGCTGCACACTAGATTATTTATAAGAGAAATCGAGATATAAATATCAGCCGAAAGATTACATAAACCGAAAAGCTCTGCCATGGTAAAAATAGGTTAGCATGAGGGAGGAAGCAAATATTTTGGCCCGGGGAGTCTAGGAAATCCTGTCAGATAAGACGACCACTGATTTGGATCTTACAAGGCAGTATTTTAAGTTGATTAAGATAAAGACTTTAGAGGACTGATTCTACCTTTCATTAGCAGTGTGACTTTGGACAAGTTATTTAACCATTTTTACTTGTAGAATATGGAAATAAATAGGATACATCTCACAGAGCTGTTGTGAGGATTAAATAAGCAAATTGAATATGTAAAAGCTCAAAACACACAGCACAGCGTGCTCAGTAGGAATAAATTGTTGTTTCTAAGGTGATCATGAAAATTTGTTGAAGAGAAACCTTTTTCGCACAGAATAACTAATGTGAACAAAGACAGAGATTTTTATCAGTTTTTAGATATGAAATAACCCATTAGGGTTAGAGAAAGTATTTAGGTATGAGCATGAGAATTATGCAAAGATTCGGATGGCAAAGCCTACAGAATTAGGTTAGGGCTATAGGTTGGGGCTTAATTATGAACAGGCTTGCTAAGGAGTTAGAATTTTTTTTCCAGTATTCGATGTCCCAATTGTTAAGTGAATATACCCCTGTTACAAACATCCCCTTCTATAATATGCTCCACTCTGTGCCCCTGGAGTTGGAACTCTGCAGCATAATTTCTCCTGTGCTGGGCGTAAGGTAAACTCTGCCTCTATGGGCGCTAGAGGCCAGAAGGCAGGAGGCTGGGAGAAGGAACTTGCCATTTCCCCTTTGCTGGCCATGCCGGTGTGTTCCTCAGCAACAAAGCTTCACCTGGTAGGGGCAGTTGGTTTCCATCGCCAACTTTTTTAGCACTCCTGGAGCAGGTTTCCTCATACTCTCTCAAAGGATTTGGCGACCACCGAAAAGTAGCTCTCCTTAGAAGAATGAGACCCAACTTTTACTCTAGGACAGCTCCACTGTGCTCCTGAAGTATTGGAACCAGCTGTGTACACCCTGTCCTCAGAAACCCAAGTCTTATGGCTTTTAAATGTCCAAGTCCTAGGTGCTTGTAAGTTCAACTTTTTCCAGAGGGTGGTATCTGCTTCCTGAAGCGTCTATCCCTGTGCGGATCTGATGGGGCCTTTTTAGTTTTTCAGTTCTCCAACTCCTATTTAACCAGTTCCTTATACAGTTAACTCTTAAACAACATGGGTTTGAACCGCCTACATTCACTGAAAGAATTTTCTTTCACCTTTGCCACCCAGAGGCAGCAAAGCCAACCCTTCCTCTTCCTCCTCCTCCTCAGTCTACACAACGTTAAGGCAATGAGGATAATGACCTGCTTCCACTAAATAGCAAAAACATTTTCTCTTCCTTATGTTTTCGTTTTCTTTTTTTTTTTTTTTTTTTGAGTTGGAGTCTCACTCTGTCGCCCAGACTGGAGTGCAGTGGCCGCTCCCGGCCACCGCAGCCTCGACCTGCTGGGCTCCGGCGATCCTTCCACCTCAGCCTTCCGAGTAGCTGGAATTACAGGCGTGCGCTACCACGCCCGGCTGATTTTTTGATTTATTGTAGAGATGAGGTCTCACTGCCCAGGCGGGTCTCGAACCCGCAGGCTCAGGGAATCCACTCACCTCAGCCTCCCAAAGGCGCGGGATTACAGGCTGAGCCACCGAGCCCGGCTTCCTTATGTTTTCTTAATGGCACTTTCTCTTCTCTAGCCTGCTTAGTTGTAAGAATACATATATGATACATATGACATAAAAATGTGTGTTCATCTACTGTATTTGTTATCAGCAAGGATTCTAGTCAGCAGTAGGCTATTAGTTGGTATGTTTTGGGGGAGTCAAAAGCTTCACCCAAATTTTCAACTGTGTGGCCAATCGGTACCCCTAGTCCCCACATTGTTCAAGGGTCAACTGTATAAAATTCTTGCTGTTGAATTCGTGGAATTATTTCTATTTTCCTGAAAAGATGCTGGATGACACAATCCTTGGTACTGGAGTGAGGTTTCTCTTCACCATTAGCTCACCTACATCTTACTAAGGTATCTAAGGAACTTGCTGTCTTCTGTTCATCAGGTCAAGTCAGCAAGATACCATCAATATAGTGGACTAGTGTGATGTTCTGGGAGATGTCCAGACATTCAAAAATCTCTTCCGATCTTGTGGCAGAGAGCAAAAAAATTGATTTGACCTAAGGCAAGAGCATGAATGTGTACTATTGATCCTGCCAGATAAAAGCAAACTGCTTTTGATGGTTCTTGCAGATTGTTATAGGGAAGAAAAAGTATTTTCCAGATCAATAGCAGCATCATATTTGCTAGGGACTGTGGTCATTTATTCCAGTAAAGACACTTCAGTGGGAAAGCAGCTATAATTGAAGACATGTCCTGTTTATAATCATCCATAGTAATTCTCTAAGACCCATCTAACTTCTGCATAAGCCCAATACCCATCAAAGTCGATGAATGTCATTGGCCTCTAACCTGGTCTCTACCTTTCTGACACTCTGGAGTTTACTGGGGGCAAAGTGCAGACATCCACTGCGTTCTGTTCCACCAGAGGTAGCAGTGCCTCTCTAGAGGAGACCCGCCCCATTCTTGTTTAAACTGTAGATATATGGGTACATCTTCCTGACTCCGGAGTCCAGTTAGGTTTACCCGGCCATCACACTGAGCTACATCCCCCAGGTTAGACCGTATCCACAGTAGGTGATAGTTTATTTTCCCTGTGCATGCCTTTATTTTATTGTTCAATTTGGTCAGATGTTGCCCAGGAAGAACTATTAATGAGACCTTCAAAGATCTCATTTTTTTGTTTTAAAAGATAGGGTCTTGTTATGTTACCCAGGCTGGTCTCGAACTTCTGGCCCCAAGCAACCCTCCTACTTCAGCCTTCCAAAGTGCTGAGATTATAGATGTGAGCCATCACATCCAGTTTCAAGAGCAATAATTTTAAAGATGGGAAAAGGATATTTAAAACAGGAAGAGATTAAGAAAATGTAGAATAAAGTATGCACATTTCTTTTTAATATGAAAACTTGATGCTTGTCATATTTTCCAACATTTTCCAGTATTTTCCAATTTTTCCAATATTTCTTCTAGATACCAGTTTATAGGATTTTTATACTGTAAATGTTTATTTGAATTTTGACATAAATATTTTATTTCACTATTTGTGATCTATAAATGGATAGTACATGAATTATACATTTCTTAAAAACTTGAGATTCCTATGTGGCAATCTATTAAAAAGTGCTTTTAGGCCATGTGCGATGGCCCATGCCTATAATCTCAGCACTTTGGGAGGCCAAGGCAGGAAGATTGCTTAAGTCCAGGAGTTTGAGACCAGCCTGGGCAACATAGCGAGACCTCATTTCTTCAAAAGAAAAATCAAAAAATTACCCAGGTGTGGTGATGTGCACTGTTAGCTCCAGCAGCACAGGAGACTGAGGCAAAAGGATTACTTGAGCCCAGGATGTCGAGGCTGTGGTGAACTGTGATTGTGCCCCTGCA